TATATATATATATAGGAAAGGAAACATAATCATATACACACGCATATATATATATGTATATAAAAACTAATAAAATCGTCTTATGTCATAAGATTTAAAGAATATGGATTTGATTCACTTTTCTCAATTAGTTATGACCATGTAAGATGGCTTTCCCTTCTTTTTTCATATGTACAAGAAGCGAGAAAGAAAGATTAGGAGAGAAGGAAGAGTAAGTGTTATTTTTTTCGGGAATAAGGCATACACACTCATTCTCTCCTCTTCTGCTTCTTCTCCTCATTCTCTCGTCGTCTCTTGCTTCGTTTCTTCAATTGTTCAACAGACGAACGACTTTACACACACACACACACACGCAAATAGACATATATTTCTTCATTTTCTTTTTTTTTTACTATACCGTAGCGTGGCATATGACAATTTATTAATCAGTGAACGACAGGAACAAAATTAAAGAAGCAAAAAAAGAAACAAATTTATCAAAGTCTTTTATTTTTTTCACATCTCATCGTGTCTCGACATACACTTATTCATATAACAAAATATATCTATATCTTTTCTATACAAAATATTTTGATATGCCACCATGAACATACTTGACAATTTATTATTATCATGACTATGAAACTTTTTTTACTTATCATTATCATTACCGGTAAATATATATATATATATATGTTTTTCATCGTTCATTGAATATGTATACCTTTTCAAGATAGAAAAAACTATATCTATATGTGTGTGTACATATCTAATATAAACAAAAATCATTCAATTAAAGACACTTTTTTTTTTGTCCTGTTTTATTCTTCTATTTGATTGCACGTGCTTTACACATTAAGTCAAGGTAGGCGCATAGCTAATTAATCCCCCGTGTGTACAACAACAATATTTACGTGGCGAGAAAGAACGAAGAAATCTTCTTTTCCATTGTTGTTTGCCGAAGGCCGTATGCATCCGAAGAAGAAAAAAAAAATGTTAAGATAACAGTACGGTACCTTGGTCACTATAGAAATTGATTTCTATTTATTGGTTGCTCATTTTGTTTTACTTGATCAAGGAATCCATATTGAGCATTACAATTGAAAGAACAGTTGGACAAGATGAAAGAATTTCTTTTATTAATATGATAGTAGCAAGACATCAAATCATAATAGATCCCGCCCTATGACTGATCATTAAATTGAACAGCAGGAGAAGAAATATATATATATTATAAAGAAGAAAATGTATTAAAAATCTTTCTCTTTTTTGTCTGTTCTATTAAATATATATTTGATTGAATATTTCAAGGTATTGCAAGTTCGTCAAACGTCCGGTATATAAGTGGAGAACTTGATTCCGCTATCTCATTTCGATGTGAAATTGCTCAATTACCATTCAATGCCGTTGTATGTCGTTTTCTTCATTATATTTCAAATATATTTTAATACAAAAAAAAAAATCTTTAGATAACTTGGGTATATCGTCCAAAAATTCCTACAACAAATGGTATAAAATGGTTACCATTATATGCAAATGCACGTCGTTTAACACAAAATAATCGACGTTTTATAGTTGATTATAGTGGTTATAATATTCAAACTCAAATACATCTATCAATATTAACTATAAATCAATTAAATTTATCCGATGAAGGAATTTATATGTGTAAATCAAATCAACATCATTCAATAGCAAATATTTATAATTTAACTGTAACTCGTAAGAGAAACTTTTTCTTTTCTTTTTGTCTTTTTCAATCTTGAAAAATCTTAACTTTTATATTTAAAAGCTTCAATGAAAATTTATCCAAATGATGGAATTATTGAATTAAAAAATTATCAACGATCAATTAATTTATCATGTACAGTACGAGAATTATCAACAAATATAATTGATCCATTAAAAATAAAATGGTATCATAATAAATATCATATAAATCAACATCAAACATTACATATTATTAATAAATATCCATATAATAATCAAGCTACATTAATATTATATATACATAATTTATCATTAAATGATTCAGGTTTATTTCAATGTATATATAATAATGGTATAATAAGCAAAGATGTTCAAATAATTTCTACTTCTTCGGGTAAAATAATTTAGTTTTTTCAAAAAATTTCTTATTATATATTTTTCTTAGTGCTTGGATATTCTAAATCTATAAGTCGAAAACTAATATCTTCATGGATATTATTAGTTTATAATATGATTATCATTTTTATTGTAACATGATGAACAAATTATCTTTTTCTATTTTATCGTATTTTCTTTTTCTCGTTTTTTTTGATGCATGTGTGTCGCACAGTGTTTGTTGTTATCTTGTTTGCTTTTTTTTTTTTTCCTTTTCTGTTCATCGATCCAAATTATGAATGAAGATGACAGTAGAACTATCTTAATATAAGACTTTGTCATTGAACTAGTGCTGAATGTATTATTCACATGAGAACATCGAAAAGGGAAAAAGTCAAACAATGAATTTTTACATATCGATAAAAAATTTCTATCATCATCTCTATTGCCCTTGAAAATATGTCGTTCAACATATTTGTAATTATAGTTATTATTAACAATAAGATAAAAAGAAAGACAAGAAGCAAAAAAAGAAAAAAAAGGAGAGGAAATGTGAAGTAAAAAATTGATGACAAATATTGAACAAAAGCAAGAGTGAAATAATTTTCTTCACCATCATTGTTTGAATTTCTTATGTTACACTCACTTAGTTATTATTACATCATCATCATCATCAGTGTATCTAAAAATAATCATCCTTCTTATTCTCATTCTGTCTTACATTGCTCATCCGGGAAATAGGCAAAGAACGGATTAGTAGTTGTAGTACCACTGGCAATTGATACATTCTAAAAATGAATTCATTATCAGACTACAAGGACAGAATTTGTTTCCTAATACACTAGAGTTCAATGCAATACTTATTAAAAAAAATGCCAAGTACAATTTATTATTATAAATCAAAACTTTGTTCATCATCACTTGAAAAATGTCTCGTACGAACACGTTCACGTAACAATTCAATATCACAAACATATTCAGATGGAACTTTTGAACATACTAATTCATTTGATATAACTGTTACAAGTTTATTTTTATTCCATATTGATAGTTCATCTTTTGTTTCATATAAAATAACAAAAGTACCTTGTCGCATTGAAAAATGACAACCACATTTACATTGATAATCATTAAGAACAAGAAGAAGTCGATAATGATGACATAATTTTGCAAAATATTGTTTTCGAATAGATGAATTTGAAAGTTTTGTTTGAGTAGGTAAAGAAAGATAAGTACGAAAGAGATGACGACATTTCGATGTGGATTTATTATTTGATGGAAGTTGTGATCGACGACGTGGTGGAGGAGGCGGCGGCGGTGGTGATGGTGGAAAAACAGTTGAATCATTGTCAAGAAAAGCTATAATAGATGATCGACATCGAGGTGCAGCTGAAGATAAATCTTTTGGTTCAAGAATAGTTCGAGATGGATAATATGTTGATGAATTAGTTGATGTTGTAGATGATATTGAAGAAAGAGACATTGCTGATTGCATGACTATCTAAATAAATTAAAAATAAACTCAATTATTGTAAACATTGACTATCACGATAGAGTTAGTTGTGAACTGTATGTGATTGTATAAAGATGCTCTCTCGTTTAATCGGTGTGATATTTCAATTTGAAAAGAAGAAATATTTATCCAATCAATCATTCAAGTATTCACTATATCTGCATTCTTACCGATGTGTGGGTGGGTGTGTGTTTTATTCGATTGCAACAGAAAAAAATCAATAAATGTATATGAGATGAATGTGATTCTGCTTATATTTATAGATGAAGATTGAATAGAGAAGAGAAAAATATGAAAGTGGTGGCTAATCTTAATGAATACTAAACGATTGACATCAATTGAATCCAATCAATTACGCATTCATTAATTTGTATGTTCTCTTTCTGTTCAATTAGCGAATGAATCGACACTTCTAAGAAGGATATTTTCTTTTTTAGTGTTCAATTTTCCCTCATCAAGATTATCATATGATGAGATCAAAATTGTCTAAGAGAAGACAAAATAGTAAACAATGCCTAGAGGAATTGAGACAGTCGGTAAAATTTTGTTATATTGTCATTGATATGATAAATTTCAATAAATAAAAATAGATTGTAGGTGAAAATAAGCTGCATGCAGTCGTATATTATGTCATTGTTAGACAACTTACCAATTAGTGTTAATCTCTCGATTGTTATGAGAAAAGCGCATTAATATATTCAATTGTCGTCATATATGACGAGCGCGAAAGATAGGTTCATATACATTTTATGCATAAAAAATTTCCTATATTGGAAAAAAAACAATATATAGTTTAATCATTCTTCAGTGGTATTCAGGCGCAATGTAAATAAATTCTTACTATTTTTTTGGTGTTACGTAATTATTATTAATTGTTTTTGTTGTCCAACAGTGAATAGTCAATATGGAAGATATGAGAAAGATGACACTGAGCAATAATGTATCTAGTTGAGAGAAACTCACAAGTGAAGAATGCATGACGGCTACATGCTGTTTCTTTATTTTGTCATCATTGTTCATAAAGTGTGTAACGAATTCCTATGTTAGTCATTAATGTATTTGTGAGTTTTTCTTATGAGTATTAGTGTGACGAAGATTCAAAAGATTATCTTATTGTTCAATATTGCCGCATCTAAATGCTTACAACTTGTATACCATTGATCAATGAAAATAACAATAGCACTGTATTATAAGAACTGTTAGTTTATCGTTTTAAGAAAGTTTGCCTAAGACAACATCTTATTTCGACATATCAGTGTTTATAGTTCTAATCAAGAAAGACTTTCACGCGATCTGAAGATATTTTTTTAAGGCAAATTTAGCACAAAATCTAAAATATTTTTCAAATCCATGTAAAGCAACACGTATTTTCTTGACTATGAATATTTTTTTTTGTTAAAAAAATGCCAAATACAATTTATTATTACAAATCAAAACTTTGTTCATCATCACTAGAAAAATTTCTCGTACGAACACGTTCACGTAACAATTCAACATCACATACATATTCAGATGGAACTTTTGAACATACTAATTCATTTGATATAACTGTTACAAGTTTATTTTTATTCCATTTTGATAGTTCATTTTTTGTTTCATATAAAATAACAAAAGTACCTTGTCGCATTGAAAAATGACAACCACATTTACATTCATAATCATTAAGAACAAGAAGAAGTCGATAATGATGACATAATTTAGCAAAATATTGTTTTCGAATAGATGAATTTGAAAGTTTTGTTTGAGTAGGTAAAGAAAGACAAATACGAAAAAGATGACGACATTTCGACATGGATTTATGATTTGATAGAAGTTGTGATCGACGACGTGGTGGAGGAGGAGGAGGCAGTGGTGAGGGTGGGAAAACATTTTGATCATTGTCAAGAAAAGCTATAATAGATGATCGACATCGAGGTGCAGCTGAAGATAAATCTTTTGGTTCGAGAATGGTTCGAGATGCATAGGATGTTGATGAATTAGTTGATGTTGTAGATGATATTGAAGAAAGAGACATTGCTGATTGCATGACTTTCTAAAAAATGTATTAAATGTAAATATAATATTTTCTAAAGATGAATTGCTCAATCGAATATTCAAGTATTCACTATATATATGCACTCTTACCGATTTGTGAGTGTGTGTGTTATATTTGATTACAACAGAAAAAAATCAATAAATGTATAAGAGATGAATGTGATTCTGCTTATATTTATAGATGAAGATTGAATAGAGAAGAGAAAAATATGAAAGTGTTGACTAATGTTAATGAATACTAAACGACTTACATCAATTGAATCCAATCAATTACGCATTCACTAATTTGTATGTTCTCTTTCTGTTCAATAAACGAATGAATCGATACTTCTAAGAAGAATATTTTCTTTTTTTTTTTGTATTCACTTTTCGCTCATAAAGATTATCATATGATGAGATCAAAATTGACTAAGAGAAGAAAAAATAGTAAACAATGCCTAGAGGAATTGAAACAGTCGGTAAAATTTTGTTATATTGTCATTGATATGATAAATTTCAATAAATAAAAATAGATTGTTGGTGAAAATAAGCTGCATGAAGTTATATATTATGTCATTGTTAGATAACTTACCAATTAGTGTTAATCTCTCGATTGTTATGAGAAAAGTATATCAATATCATTTTTCTTATGTAAGGTATAACGCAAGTACAATGGCTTTGGATTGTATTATTGTTGAAGCGTATGTATGCATTATGACGTTGGCAAAACTTAGTTTTCGAGAATAATATATGAATTTGTTTGTCCATAACTTGAAGATGTGAGTGTGTATATTCTGTTTACTGATAGCCTGAAATTAGATGTTGTACATATAATAAAACACCATATTTCTTATGAGTTACTAGTAAAATGTAACCATAATAATTTCAAGATACACTTTAATAACGAGTGAAACAGACGTTTTCTTTGATGGTGAATAATATTTAGAGTTCAAATGACTAAAATCTCAAAGCATGTTTCGTTCGATCATAAGAATTGGATATTTAGAAAGATTATTTCTATTTCTTAGCATTTATAAAAAGACTTTAGTGATATACTCATTTTTTAAGGCTTAGTAGATTTTCACGATACTTCTCGAAATAATTGTATTAATATGGCAGTGTTATCATGAAGTAATATTTGATTCTTAATATATATTCTAGTTTCGCTGAAAAACATCAATGTCCTTCTAAAGACATTGAAACTTGAAAAAACATCGATTGTTTAAATATTCTATAAGAAAATTTATTCATGCAATTCTTGTTTGTCGAGAAAACGACATTGATTATGACTAAAAATTTTCACTCATGGTACGATCTATCTGATCTTACTATGGTGAAAGGCCAAGTTGAGATATTATATTTCGATATATTCGAAAATAACTTGTGTTAGATTGAAATTGATCAAAATAATTTTAACTCGAATAAAATAGTTAATAAAAAGAAATACTTCTCGACTTTTATTGGTCTCAATCAGTCTTACATTCCGATGCATATCATATTTAAAAGTGAAAAATAAAGCATCGAAAACATTCGTTGGGAGATAGTTATGACAGACATCTGACTGAGAATCAAACATATGTCAAGAAGATGTGAATTGTTTTCAAACCTTTTATTTACTACGAAACGAAGTGTTATACAAATAAATGTCCTGTATAAAAAATGGTGTATTCTTCACCTGCTCTCAGAATATTACGTCATTTCCTAAAAAGCATTACTTTATCGGATAAAAGCAACTAAAGATACTATCCGTTTCGGAATTTCATCGTTTTTTTTGACGTTTCAATGGGAAAATTTTAAGAGTCAATAAAAAAATATCATATAATTATAATAAAAATTCATCTACTTTTCTAAATATCTTAGGGCTTACACCATGTTTGATAGTTTGTCAGTAGTGTAATTTCGACTGTAGAGACAATTTCCTTTACATTTGTGAGTTAGAGCCTTTATCATACAAGGATGATTGATGGCTGCTTATGTCGAATATTAATTTGAATTAGTTTTGAGTTGATCAAAGATACGGGTAGATTTGTCCACAATATCAATTAGGTCATAGAGCAAACTGTTCTCGTGAACATATCTCCAGTTTTGGTCATACCTTTGAAAAAGTACAGAGAAAAAAATTTACTCTAATGAACAAAAGTAGTTGGATTGTCCAGCCACTACTTACCCAAACAGACATAAAGCATTTTACAGCAGCAATAGTTATACAGACAAGTGACATACATATATAAGCTCGTACTGGTTCCATGTCGTTTGGTGTGTTCTATGAATAACATAAAACTGAATAATATTATTTGTTAAGCTTTGTATATTTACACTGCGCCGAAACAACACTCGTAACAAGTAAATATGATATACGACAAAGACAGGTCACCACAAACTGAAGATTATCGGATGAACACAGAATCGCGCGATACGTTCATTACTTTTCTGTCTTCCAAATTCAGCTGATGAATATGATAATATTATTTCGGAGTTCATTTTAACAATAGACATGAGATTGTTGCTGATGACAAGTAAATATATCAATTTTCTATGTAGTAATTATAATGTTACGATTTTTTACATTACGGATGAAAAATCGAATTTACTTCGTGTTTTTCACGTGAAAGTGAAACTTAGTTCGTATGTTTTAGTTAAAGTGAATAGTTTGTCATTCATAAAATTAGGCAAAAGTAATAAAGCAATCGACATATGCGATTTTCACATAAATATATTAAAAATCTAGTTCATTGACCGATTATTTTCTCTAGTCTATTCTCATTAACCTTACCTACTAACGGCCTATTTTTAATTATCTTTTTATAATTATCTTAAAAAAGTTTGTCGAAAATTTGCCAAAGCTCTCGAACTTGAAGTTGTACTTAAATCGGAATAAATTTCAAGATCAGAGTCGAAGTTTAGGTTGTGCAAAATGTCAGCTTAGATTTTGGAAACTGAAAAATATTCATTTCATTGATTTGGAGAAGATTATTAATAAAAAAAAAGTACGGTCGTATTGATTGTTCGTAGCAATGTTAGGATTCTCATGAATTCACGTTTATATTCTTGTTTACAAAAAGTAAATAAAGTTTTAGGATTTGATAAACCAAAGAAGCCTCCGTTTTTGTTTGTTATCTTCATACTAAAACAGGAGAGACGAACGCGTTTTACAATAATTCCCGATAGAAACAATTAGAGATGTCAGTCGATGCATCAATAGGCGGCAGTAACTTGTTTTCACTGTCAATAAAGACGCCTGAAAATAATGATAGACAACTTACTGATAAAAAACTAGAGAACAACATTTCTGAAAGCTGATCCTGTGTGTCGAAAATTTTTATAAAACAACTATCTATAAACCTTCAGCAGTTATTTACGGCAATGCCGACTGCGTGTTATCCAAGTAGGTTCTCCGATGAGATCTCTGTAACCTGATCCGTTCTTGAGACAGATATATGTACAAAACACCGAAAAACGATCATTTTATTGTGTATCCGGGAGTATTGATCAATTCACCAATAGCTCATTGATTTGAAGTCAATTTTGTATGATAAGTACATCCACTTGAGACGTATGCACAGTAAAAATTCTAAGTTAAACGGATAGATTACTAGTGAGATATGAATGTCACTAAAAAATCTATCAAAACTTAGCTCTTTCGGCGATAGTGCTTTCAGAAAAATTGAAATATCTCAACAATGAAACAATATTTTTTCAAATGGCTTGCATCAAATTTCTTAAAACACTTCCCTGTACTACCCATTTTAAACTAAGCAGGATCTGACGGTCTCAGTTGATTGTATTCTATATTCGAGAAAAGATCTTTGTTCAACTTAACTCAGATTATATTGAATAAAGACTAATGAAGTTAAATATTAGGTGAGAACAATTAGTTCCATGATAGTGCGTTAAAGAAAACTAGTGTATTTAATTGCTACGGAATAAGACTAGAGGTCATTTTGGTAACACAGATACTGTATGATTTCTGTTTGATTCGTCTACATCCATCTGACTTTAGGAACAATAAATAATTGTTGTTTATTACACATGCTGCTTATAATAAAAACTTTATAGATTTTTGAGATTTATATATTTTGATGGTACCTGTTTCGATACTAATACTTGAAGCATTAGTAAAGTAATGCTAAGTTTTCGTACTATTTTAGAAAGTATTGTAATTAACTATGTATATTCAAATACAACGTATCTTTTGTCTAAACTAGACTATAGACAGACGCACCGTCTTACCATAGTCAACGCATATTTTTGACATGACTGAGATTAGTCTACCGACAAGTAGACAAATTTTGAGCCAAATTTTAAGTACTTTCGTTTTTCTATTAAATAGAAGATTATAGCAAAAAACCAAATTGTACTGTTTTGTAGCTGCTAATGAGAAGTATCGAATGAGTTCTATAGTTACATATTTACGAAAAAAAAAGCACTTATATCCCGTGTGTCTGATTTATTGAGAAAACCACTAAGTATGACTATAAAATTGAGCTTTTCAAGCTCAATAAAATTCCAGTGAAACTTTTCTTTATTTGAACATCAAGATATACAAATATGAAAAAAAATTGCATTTTTATAATTGAAAGTTGTGAGCAATCTATTGTTACAGTACTTGTCAAAAAAGTTTTTTTTTACTTTCTATCTTTTCAAGCAGTACTTTCATATGACTTTGCAGAGACTTTCATGCTGCATCCTGGGGAGAAAAGACGAGGGAAGGTTCTCGACAGATTCACACCGTTTTCAACGATATTTTGTCCATATTTAGGAAACAGTATCCTAAGAAAAACCCTAAGAGGTTTTGGGCTGATACAGCTTCCTTCGAAGATTATCACCATTTTACTCATTTTCTCACATAGCATAAAGCATATGGAGCAAGAATAAATAATGAAATTTGAATCTAAACTTTTGCTCATACGTAGTTCTTGTAGCCATAGGAACGCTAACAGTTTCAATGGAAAAAAAAAGTTTCCTATTATAAATATTGATTCTTAAAGACTTGTCTCCTTACTCATAAAATCT